CATAGTACTGGAAGTGCTAGCCATAGCAATCAGACAAGAAGAAGAAATAAAAGGCATCCAATTGGAAAAGAAGAAGTAAAATTGTCATTATTCACAGATGACATGATATTGTACATCAAAAACAATAAAGACTCCATCAAAAAAACTACTAGACTTACTAAATGAATTCGGCAATGTAGCAAGATAAAAAATGAACACCCAGAAATCTATGGCTTTTTACACACCAGTAATGAACTCACAGAGAGAGAAACTAAAAAAAAAAAAATCCCATTTACCATTGCAACAAAAAAAAGGTAAATACCTAGGAATAAACTTAACCAGGGAGGTAAAGGACCTGTACTCAGAAAATTACAAGACACAGAAAAAAGAGATAGAGGAAGACATAAACAAATGAAAGAATATACTATGTTCATGGATTGGTAGAATCAACATCATTAAAATGTCCATACTACCAAAAGCAATCTATAAATTCAACCCAATCCCCATTAAAATACTAACAGCATATTTCAAAGACCTAGAACAAACTCTCCAAAAATTCATCTGGAGTTAAAAAAGACCCCGATTAGCTGCAGCAACATTGAGAAAAAAGAACAATGTTGGAGGGATCACAATACAGATATCAAGCTATATTACAAAACCACTGTTCTCAAAACTGCCTGGTAGTGACACGAGAAAAGACACATAAACCAATGGAACAGAACAGAGAACCCAGAGATTGACCAAAGCCATTATGATCAATTAATATTTGAGAAAGGAGGCAAGAGCATACAATGGAGACAAGACAGTCTCTTTAAATAAATGGAGTTGGGAAAATTGAACAGATACTTGCAAAAAAATGCAACAAGAACACCAATTTACACCATACACAAAAATAAATTCAAAATGGATGAAGGACTTAAACATAATATGGGAAACCATAAATATCTTAGAAGACTGTATAGGCAGCAAAATAGCAGACATATGTCGTTGCAATATCTTTACGGATACAGACCCTAGGGCAATGGAAATTAAGGAGAAAATAAACAAATGGGACTACATCAAAATAAAAGGCTTCTACACAGCAAAAGAAATCATCAACAAAACAACAAGAAAGCCAACTGCATGGGAGAACTTATTTGCCAATGTTATCTCCGATAAGGCTTAATCTCCAAAATTTACAAGGAAGTCATACAACTTAACAAAAGGAAGATAAACAATCCAATCAAAACATGGGCAAAGGACCTAAATAGACACTTTTCGAAAGAGGACATGCAGAAGGCCAACAGACATATAAACACATGCTCAAAGTCACTAATCATCCGAGAGATGCAAATCAAAACAATAATTAGGTACCATCTCACACCTGTCAGAATGGCTATCAACAAATCAACAAATGACAAGTGCTGGAGAGGATGCGAAGAAAAAGGAACCCTCGTGCACTGCTGGAGAGAATGCAGACTGGTGCAGCCATTGTGGAGAACTGTATGGCATTTCCTCAAAAAATTAAAAATGGAACTGCCATTTGACCCAGTAATACCACTTCTAAGAATGTATCCCAAAAAAACAGAAACACCAATCAGAAAGGATATATGCACCTGTATGTTCATAGCAGCACAATTTACAATAGCTAAGATTTGGAAACAGCCTAAGTGCCCATCATCAGATGAGTGGATGAGAAAACTATGGTATATCTACACAATGGAATTCTACGCTGCTGCAAAAAAGAAGAAATTCTGGGAGGAATCAAGATGGTGGCATAGATACACACTTGTACTTGCTGCCTCGCACAACCACATTAAAACTACAACTAAAAGACTAAACGGATATCATCCAGACCCATGGGAAGGCTGGCTGAGTGGAAATTCTACAATTAGAAGGAAAGAGAAAAGCGCATTGAAGCTAAAAGGAGGTACAGAGGTGCAGAAGTGCGGAGGTACGGAGGCACATGTGGAAACGGGCTGGCAACTGAGTATGCTGTTGTCTTTTTCAATCGGAAGGGAGAGACAAGCTCCCAACTGCTCTGAACTCCAGTTCTGGGTGAGACTCTGGGGACCCAGACTCATATAGGGAGAAACTGGACTGTCTGGCATCGGGCCTGAACGCGAGGGCGGCTTTCTCGCAGAGTTGCTTGCAGCGATCATTATTCCTGCACGGGGCGGCAGGACACAGAGATACCGGGACCTCTCCCAGGCAGAGCATACTGGCAGCCATTGTGGTTTGCTCCACCCTGATGATTCCCTGAGACCCCGCCCCACCCAATTTACAAC